CGACGAAAATAGGATGCAGCGTGAATCCAGCAATTAGCTGCATTCAGCGGATTCAACAGCTGAGTGAGCGCTTCCTGTTATTGGTGCATTCTTTTAGATCATCCAATCAGCATTTTAGATCTGGAAAAATACATCAATGGGTGCATTCAGTACTACAATCGCTCACTGAGCGCTCAGTGAGCGGTTGTAGTACTGAATGCACCTAATAGCAGTGAGCGTTCACTCAACTATTGAGTCCATTGAACATAGCCATTTTCGACGTCAAAATAAATCACGTGATAAAAATTGACGAAATATCAAGCGTCAATTTTGCTTACGTTACCTATTTTGTTGAAAATGAGCGTCGAGCGTCATACTAGAGTCCTATAAGGCGTGTTTGCCGCGTATCGCGTAACCGCGTAACCAATCAGTAATCAGTAAAGGTAAATTTTCACGAGCTGCTTAAACAGGCTGTTTCAGCGACAAAAAGGATCACGTGATCAAAATTGACGAATATCAAGCGTCCATTTTGATCCTTTTTGCCGCTTAAACAGCTGGTTTGAGCAGTTCATGAAAACTTACCTTAAGACATAAAATCACAGCTGATCACAGCAGCGGATCGTTTCTGATTGGTGACGCAGTTACGCGATACGCGGCAAATACGCCTCACTTCAACATCAGCACAAAAAGGCACCTTTAACTACATTAGACTGTTAACTCCCCACTTTTCCTTAAGGTGCCATTATATGGAAGCGTCAACCGTCGAGACTACTAAATTCGCGAGCGCTGCGAGTGTCGAGAATCGAAACTTAAACTCGAAATCTAAAATCGGTCCACTTTTATTTTACGGAGTGGAGTCTCCTTAGTATCTTCCTTCATACTCACGATGTTTAACGCTCGACGCTTAATGCTGCCATGTAAAGGTGCATTCACATGCAAACGTCAAGCGTGAATGCACCTTAAAGATACCTTCATGTAAAAGTGTTGCCTGCCCACAGTGGATGCGCAGAATAAAAATATCGTCACAGAAAAGAGATGTCGACAGGCCAAGTAATCCAGCGTCTTTGCGATTGGTTAAAAATGTATAGAAGCATGCGCAATATGCAAATGTACTTATTGTGCGCATGTAGTACAGCTGGTCAGAGAAAGGTTGCAATACTTTTCTTTTAATGGGTTTTGGAACTCAACCTTGTTCATAGAACGTAAATGGGTGCATTTAGAACAACTGCTTACTGAACGCTCTATCATTTGATTGGTTTATGTTTTAGGATCTAACGGAATATGCTTATTAGATGAAAAAGTTCAATGAGCGCTCAGTAACCTCTGTTACACGGCACTCTTAATAACATCTGTAGTTATGAAATTAGCCAATCATAGCTGTTCCTCTCGGAAGAATGGAACGATTGTGATTAGCCAATGTCATAACTACGGATGTTATTAAACTCGATTATGGGTCGATTGTTCCATTTTTTGGTAAAGTTAACCTATTAGGTGAATCCGGTAATCCGCGCACGTGATTGGATAATCTTGCTACTTACCTAACAGGTCAACTTGATTATTCTTCTCATATTCGACTGTGATTGATTAATTTTCTACGACTTAAGATCCTACGACTACTATGACTTCTATTGTAGACCCCGCATTAAGGCCATCACACGTACAAAAATTCTAGTCGTAATCGTAAGGCCGTAAGTAAATTGGCCAATCACAATCGAGCGTTTTAAAACGCGAGATCGTAATTTTGATTGTGAAAGACCATTGTACGTAAAAGCCGTAGTCGTAATCATAAGACCGTAAAAAGCGATAAATTGATTGGTTACTGCGTCGGGGCCAAGCATTGTCGCGTTTTCTACGCAGAAGCAACACGAGAGAAACGTCATAACCTCAAAGCTACGATCATAGACGCAAATTTTCGTCCCGTCAAAAGATTGCGATTAACGCCTTATCTTTATGACCAACCAATCGGAAGACAGTCACGCGACTTACCGCTTGCCCCGTAGCCTATCAATTTATCGCTTTTCATGGTCTTATGGTTACGACTAATATTTTTACGTGCAATGGCCTTGATTGGTCGATTTGCTTGCGATCTTACGATTACGACTAAAATTTTTGTACGTGCGATGGCCTTTACTTGAAGATCTCTAAACTGGCCCTAAGTGGAACGCATCCCTATGAAGAACAAACTTTTAGTTATTTTTTGATCCACAGCTAATAGTGGAAGTTACTAAACTGGGTTTCTAACCTAATCTACATTTGCGCGCGTAAATTCAGCCCCTCTATTTTCAGATATTCAGACTTATCAAAAAGCTGAACTTAGCTGAATTTCAGTCTCTAGAGTCTTTATTTACGTTTCTCGGTGATTGTCATTCAGTGATTCAGTTTGTAATCATGTGGAATAACGAAAGCTCCATGGGTGGAGGTGGATTCCTGGACGATAGTACGCAGAGTGCTGGTACTGGCAAAAAAGGGCCACAAAATGACAAGACTATTATCCCCGTATTAATAAAGCATATCACGTCCACCACAGGGGATCTGCAAATCGCCGGTAGAACTGTAAACGTTTTGTCAATTGTTGGAATCATACGTCATATTGAGCAAGACACGACAAAAATCTCGTACACTATCCAGGATGACACAGGTGTTTTGTTTGTGCTGTTTTGATCTTAACGATAATCATATACTTTGTACATGATAAATGCAAAAAGTTTTGACAAATTGATACTTCATCTTTTGAATAAATTTTTATACATTTATATACAACGATAATATCTTTTTTATATTAAGTTTTTATTTTTATATTTGTATATTTAAAGCATGTTTCCTATCATAAATAGAAAACATAATCTTATATGTACGAATCATAAAATTTCCTGTAATTAGAAAATCTTAAAAATATATATAATAATTTCTATGATTTAAATTTTTAACTTTTACTGTTAGAAGATAAAAAATTTACTTAGATGTGGTTTTGCATAGGTGATCTTACAGCTATTATGTGGCTAGAAGCAGATAAAAATCCTGATGAAAGTAACACTTGTACACAAATCAACACATACGTGCGAATACATGGACTGATACGCACACAAAATAATCAACGACATGTCTTGATTTTACGCATGTATCCTTTGGAGGACTTGAACGATTTGACATGTCACTTTATGGAGGTCATGTATTTCATGCTGAAGGCTAGCAAACCTGCGGAAGAAACCGGTTTACCTTCCAATAATTCATTAATGATTGATAATACAATGAGTGGCATGTCACCGGAGCAAGTGGCAGTTCTCGAGGTGGTTCGATCAGCAAATGAAGCTGAATGTGGTATCGAGAAACGAGATATTTTAGCAAAAGTACCGAAACATGTTATATCTCGTATAGATGAGATATTAGACTTTCTTCTCTGCGAAGGACATATTTATACAACCAGTTCAGAGGATTTCTTTAAAGCTACCTAAATGTTACCCTTACAAAATTCATTAAGATTAAATTTGTTTAAATACACAATTTATGTTCATATTAAATATGTAACTTTTGTAGCGTTACATCACATTATATGTTACATTTGTTTTGTAATTTGTTCTCTATAGATAAATCAATATTAAAGAAAAATAATTTTTCTTTTGTATAAGCAAATTAATATAAATAATAATAATTTGTTTTAAATATGCCAATGTATTTTCGGCTCAAAGTACCTTAATAATAAAATATTTAATAAAGAATATTTTGTAAAATATTTACTTTTTTTAATTGTCAATATTTAAATACAAAAAAAATCCTGCTGATTGAAAAAAAATCCAACTTGGGGTGTGTTCAGGAAGACGTTATTAGTGCTATTTGTGATGTCCTTTTTTTGTCTAACAAGTGATTAAAATAAAATGATGTAATTTTTTTTAATAGCGTTTCTCCGAATGCACCCTAGGATGTGCGCATCTCTCCATAGGCTGAAATCAGACTAAGCATTGAAGATTGAGATTAAAGATTGAAAATTGAAATTTAGGACAAAGGAATTTTAGCTCCTATTGTTTTGATTGGTCAAATTTCAATGCGTAGTCTATTCCGGCCATAGAGCTCACTAAGCCCGGATCCTCATACGAGCAACAGCGCTTCGACACCAATCAGCGTTCGGTGTCAAAGCGCTGTTGCCCGTATGAGGATCCGGGCTAAGGATAATATTTTATTTGTGCGTTTTTGTCGTACGACAAATTTTTCAAGCCTGTTGATCGGCTACAAGATAGAGAGATCTGAGGACCTCTCTGTCCTACAGCTCTAGATCAACTAAAGTAGCGCATTTCTTTGATCTGAGCCGAAATGCCGACAACTGTCCTATTGGCTATTTCGACCGCCATTGTGGCTCTAATTGTCTGTAGTCCAATAAGCGCTTAGTATTGCTTAGTATTATTGGTACAGGGCACGTATATGGTAAGATTAGTAGGTCCAATATGACGAACTAAAGCCCAGTATCCACGATGCTAGAAATCCGTCCGAGATCTCGGACCAATTTCTAGCATCGTGGACACAAGACTTAATACGCTACTTTAGTCGATCTAGGGCCAGTTTCACCAACGCCAGTTAATTTAATCGATCGTTGACTGACCAATCGCGTTTGCTGTTTAGTAGAATTGACCAATTGCGGTTGACAGTTAATTATCGATTAAGCTTAATCGGCTTGGTGAAACTGGTCTCTAGAGGTTTACTCTGTCCTGTATACATTCGTCGTCCGACAAAGGCCCTGCGTACAATGAGGCAATATTAGGAATAGGAATAAATATTGAGATTTCAACCTATCAGAAACCATGTATTCTACTGTAACTGGCATCTGATAGGTTAAATATCTTAATATTTATTCCTGTTTCTAATATTTATTCTATTGGTCAGGTCCAAAAACGCACAAATGAAATATCACTCTAAGGCCAATATTACATGCGTTCGTTTTTTGTCGTACGACAAGCTTTTTGAGCCCGTTGATTGGCTGCAGGACAAAGAGGTTCTCGGATCTCATTTGCCTAGTTTACATCGTGCACTTGATACGCGTATTAATTAGTAACTTTCTATTAAATTATTTTAATTTCAGCAATGTATTTAAAGAATGGGTGCATTCAGTACTGCAATCGCTCACTGAACGCTCAGTGAGCTCTTGCATCTTATTGGCATATTTCGTTAGAACTAAAAATATAGACCAAATAGATACAAGAGCTCACTGAGCGCTCAGTGAGCGGTCGTGGTATTGAATGCACTAAATAATGTACTAAATTGGTACAATATGCATCAAAATGATTAATTAAATACACATATCATGTATATGTTTACACGTTTCGTCAAAATTAAGATAATTCAATAGAAAGTTGCTAGTTAATACCCGTATCAAGTGCACGATGTAAACTAGGCATTTGTCCGGCAGCCAATTAACACGCTTGAAAAATTTGTCGTACGACAAATGTAATATTAACTTAAGGCCCTGCGCACAATAGAAGGAATAAGGAATTAAGCCCATGGCAATACATACAAAAACGTAAGGCCGTAACACGTAAGCAGTAACCCTGGATCTACAACAGGATTTTAAGCCTTAAGCCATAAGAAATGGGCGAATCACGGTCGATTATTCTCCTCGGATTTGACTGTAATTGGTCAATTTCTTACGACTTAAGACTTAGAACACCTATTGTAGATCTGGATTAAAAAAATCATAAGATTGGATTCGCTACTGGCCTTACGGTCTCGTGATTGGCCAATTCGCTTACTGATTATGTCTTACGGCCTTACGTTTTTGTATGTGCCATGAACTTTAGGAATAAAGAATAAACAATTTCAACCTATCAGTTAAGGCCATCACACATACAAAAATTTTAATCGTAATCGTAAGGTCGCAAGTAAATCGATCAATCACAATCAAAATTACGATCTCGCGTTTAAAAACGCTCGACTGTGATTGGCCGATTTGCTTACGGCCTTACGATTACGACTAAAATTTTTGTACGTGTGATGGCCTTTAAAATCGTTTATTCTTTATTCTTAGGGCCATTGTCACCAAGCTCAGCTAACTTAACTGGGCCAATTAATCCATCGGAATTGACCAATCTGTCAATTCTTCAAACAAAATGACAAATGCGATTGGTCAATTCCGATGGACTAACTGGCCTAGTTAGATCAGCTGAGCTTGGTGGCAGTGACCCTTATGCGTGGTCTACAATGGGCAGTAGCAG